CTCTGAGATCCATTCCACAGCCCGGGGTGAGGAGGGGCCATAGTGGGGGTGGAGCACGCATCCCAGAATCCTATTTATTTTACAAGCAATCCCATGGTGCACTAGTCTGCCAACAATTCCATGATGAAAGTATTATCGCTTCATTTCACAGATGTAGCAACTGAGGCCCAGAGAGGTTAAGCAGGTTGCCAAAGGTCACATAGCTAGTAATGGTAGCAGTGGCATGTGAGCCCAGGCTGCCTGGCTCCAAGCCTGTGTTTAGTCACCATGCCATGGAGAGCTTCTTGGAGGAGCTTGGAGCCTTCTAGATCACCCAGACCTGTGTCTTTCAGGCTATTGGACCTTAGATCATTTCCCTTCAATGAAGTCTCTACAGAGCCCCAACCCACAAAACAGAAATAAGCAGTTCTGTGTGAGTTGAAGCAAACTCCAGTCTGAAAGGAAATGGTCTGCCAGCTATCCCAGTCCAGCCCAGGTCTCCACCCACACAGACTCGTCCCCTCATTCAGGACACCCACGGAGGCCCTCTGTCACTTGCACCATTGTCTCTCTAGGAGCCCTGGACACGGGTGCCACCTTCTCATCCAGCTTTCAAAGGGACTTCCTCATCTGGGGTTTTCTCCCAGGCACACCATTGCTGGGCTGTTTCTCTGTTTCCTGGAATTTGAACCTGAACACCAGTGTTTGTCCAACAGTTCTAGGTTGCCTGGCACCAGCTGCTGACCTTGATTCAAGGTGGGTTTCTCTTCTAGCCAAAAGGCCAAGTGCAGGCCAGGGGCAAGCCTGGGGAAGCCTGGGATTGCACAATGTCCAGAGGGCCTAACCAACCAGGGCTTGGGGGTGGGGGGTGGGCATTCAGTCCCCTTTGGTTTGAGGAAATGCTCAGAGCACTGGTGATGACTTTGCGTTTGGCACGAGGCCTAGAACAGAGTAACCTTCCTGGTGGCAGGATCTTGGCCAAGCCCTCCTGCCAGACTCCCTGTTTCTCAGTTGTCCTGCCACCAGTATAGCCATGACAGTGAGGTGAACTGCTGAAGGGAGGCAGCATGGCACCATGCGGGGCACATGGTAATGCTTCAGTCATTCACAGCTATTGTTGTATTGTTTATAAGCTCCCCTTCCACCAGAAACAAAACCACAAGGCCTGTGAATGTGCCCCATGTGTTTCTAGAATCAGAGTTTTCATCTGTTAGCAGCAGCCACAGTATCCTGATAAGAAAATGGTCCCACCCAAGCAAATGTACTCAGGACAGAAACCACCAACCACCCCCAGCCTGAGCTCCTGACTCAGTTTCCTCACTGTCTAGAGAGGCACCAGGACCTTCCCTAAGGCCTCCAGAGCCCTATATGACCTAAGCCAGATTTCTTCTCTGCCTTCACCTCCAAACACCCTTGACTTTGCTCACTCTGCTTTAGCCATGCAGGCCTCCCTCTGTTTCAGCACAGTCCTGCCTTAAGGCCTTTGCTCTGGCTGTTCCGCTGACTGGACCACTGGCACCTCGGGTATCCTCGTGGTTTGCTCCCTTCTGTAAGGCTTTGCTTAAATGTCGCCTTCTCACCCAGGCCCACACTGACCACCCTACCTGAAATTACAGCCCCTCCCCAACTCTCTTGACACCTCTCCTGTTCTTCCGTACCACTTGCCACCTACTGATTAACGACATTACATTTATTATCCCACGTCTGTCTCCCCAGCTAGACTGTCAGCTCTGGGAGGACAGGGATCATTGTGTGTTGCTCCCGGTGTCTCCCACAGGCCCAGCACTGGCCTGGAAAATGAATAAGGAAAAGGCGGTGTGGAGGGAAGGGGGAGACCCCTGACACCCTCCATACGCTTTGCTCCCCCTTTCCGCATCCTGCTCCCACACAGGTAGCCCCGAGGCCCCTGCCTGGGAGCATCATCAGGGGTCTTTGTTACCTTGCAAATTTACACACAAACAAGGGGTAAATTATGCTGCTTCCCCTTCCACCTACCCCCTTTCTGAGATGAGGTTGTCTCCCCCTTGGCCACCTCCCTGACCCCCTCCCCCAGTGCACCTTCTTGGGGTACCTAAATGAGACACTGAAATGTGGAAAAACCTCTATGGGAAAACTGCTGGGGAAGGGACCCTAATATTGGTTCTCTGCTTGGCTAGACACAGTTAGGACTAAATACTCATTACTAGAGCTCCTGCCTTCTGAACCACAAATATTCTTTCTAAAACCATAATTTTTAAATTATTTTATCTATTTACTTTTAAAGAAGGGGGAAGGAGGGAGAGAAACATCAATGTGTGAAAGAAACATCAACTGGTTGCCTCTCATATGCCCCCAACTGGGGGCCTGGCCTGCAACCCAGGCATGTTCCCGGACTGGGCATTGAACTGGTGAACTGTTGGTTCACAGGCTGGCACTCAGTCCACTGAGCCACACCAGCCAGGGTTAAAACCATAGTAAAAAAAATTATAATTGTTTACTACATGCCAAATGCAATAATATCATTCTTAATAATGACAATAGTAATAATAAATGCATAGCCAGGCATTAATCTAGCATGATATTAACTCACTTAATCCTCACAAGAACCCTATGAGGCAGACACTACAACTCTCCTTATTTTATAGATAAAGAAAATGAGACACAGAGAAGTTAAGTATCTTGCCCAAGTTCACACATCTAGTTAGTGTGAAGTCAGGATCGAAATCCAAATAGGCTCTTTCTAAAGTCTATGTGCTTACCCATTGTTCTACCCTTTTTTGGCTAAGAATTATAATCCCTGTTTTATAAATGATGATGAGACCAAAACCTAAGGTTTTTCCATAAGATTTTATAAGTGTCAGCGGCAGGATTTGCACTTAAGGACTGAAACTAAAGGGCCCTTTCTAGCTACTTCACTGCAGCTGTGGGTCCCATTGTGATTTGTGCGCATGCGCACACGGAGCCAGCGCTTACCACTTGGGTACATACTGGCCCCTGAACAGCACAAAAGCCCTGAGGCCTCTGAACGGAAAGACCAGCGATGTGGAAAAGCTTTGGAATTAGGGTTCAGGAGGGTCCCCTCCTCTGATGCACTCGAGTGTGACGGAAGAGGAAGCAGGGGAGAGGAAAGGAGAAGTGAACTGGGGACCAGCTCATTTCTAAATGAGGTATTTCCCAGCACCGTGAGCAGGTTGCACAAAGAAGTCCTGTGTGATCACTGTATGAGTGAAGGGTTCCCTGCAGGGGAGCAAAGGGTCCTTCACCACCCCCAGAAGCGCACATCCACGATTCCCTTCCTGGGTCATTCCCAGCAGCAATCAAGATATTTGAGGGGCTCACTTCACTGCTCGGATGTCCTAGGACCAGTGCATGGATGGCAGATTCCCTAGAACCTTCCTGATGACAGCCCAAAGTGGGGAAAACACAAATAACTATTAAGAAGAAGCTGACAAATACGTAGTGAAATACCACTCAGCAAGTTCCTCTGTTGCTTAAGGAGGAAGAAATAGCCCCACATGTCCACTTATGGAAAACAGGCTGTGAAATCCTCAAGGGCAAAGAGATTAAGAAGTACAAATTGCCAGTTACAAAAACAGTCAGGGGATGTTAAACACAGCATAGGAAATAGAGTCGACAATATTGTGATAATTATGCATGGTGTTAGGAAAGGTACTAGCCTTATCGGGGTGATCCCTTTCGTAAGTCATACAAATGTCTGATCACTGTGTTGTACACCAGAAACTAATATAATACTGTATGTCACCTGGAATTGAAAAATAACTTTTTTAAAGCAGCAGCAGGGAGCAGTCAACGTTGTGTGTTCATGTCTACAGCGGCGGTTTCACCGACGGTCACACCAAGCTGCGGGACAGGAGGCCATCTGACTGGGCTCCGGCCAGCCACTTTCGTTATGGGATGGGATGGGATGGAACAAAGCAGAAGAGAACAGAATAGACAACTCCAGAGAATGATCCTTATCATAAGGATATTGCATAAAACTTCTGTTTCAGTAATATGCCAGTATCTGCATCCTGGCTTACAATGCAAAATCTATTTCTTTTCACTGTGTTTTGGAGCTAAAAAATGAAGTTTGAAAACCCTTGATATGGAAAATACCTAAAAGAAAGAAAGGCCCTGAACAGTTGGGGGGAGGCCTCCCTCTGAAGAAAAGGGAGCAAGAGCTTTATTTTATACAATTTGGTACTATTTGGGCTTTTTCTTTTAAACAACGAACATGTATTGCTTTTGCAATAAAATAAAGACCTTTTTAAACCATTTAGAAAAAATAAACACCCCTGCCTCAGGCTCCAGGAGAGAGGCTGTGCTGTGTGAGCTGTCAACAAGTTTTTGATGTGAAAAAGACCAAATCCTTGCCCTGAGGGGCTCTGCCTCCCAGGGGGCTTCCAGGGCCTCCCTGGTCTGTTTCCGAGTCCTTCCCATCCCCTCCAGAACGTCACAGGAGCATCCAGAAAGGAAATGTGCCTTAGGATGTCAGTCTTCGTTTTTGAAAATGGAACAGACACCCTGGATTTTAGTGTTGGATCTGCGGCAGAGCCCTGGGGATGCGGCTGTCAGCTGGGAAGTGGGGCTGGGACACCCACCTCCACCGCCCCCCCCCCCACCGCCTCACCACACGCAGGTTGTTTTTCCTACCACTCAGAGAAATGTGACAACATCACAGACCATTAGGAAAGCCGATGGACACCCCAGCCCAGCCAGGCCATGTCCACATATCAGTGTTGTGTTTTCAGCATAGCATTACGTCTTATTTTCCATGTTGATAAAGAATTCTCAGAATTGCCCTGACCAGTGTGGCTCAGTGGGTCAGCAAAGCAAAGAGTCATGGGTTTGATCTCTGGTCAGGGCATGTGCCTGGGTTGTGGGTTCAGTTCCCTGGTGGGACTTGTGCACAAGGCAACCAATCAATGTTTCTCCCTCCCTTCCCATCTCTCTAAAAATAAATAAATAATTTTAAAAATTCTCATAAGTTTTCTTTATAAAAACTTACTTAAGGCTCCACCAAGCAGTTACAACATACATACCTGTCGCTCACGATGATCTCAAACGTGGGCTGCAGTGGATAATGCTGGGCGCCAGTCCTTTCTTTTCTTTATTTAGGATTAGTTCCTTCGGGCAAATCCCCAGAAGTGTGACTGCTGGAAAGGAAAGTGAAGACCTTTCCAGGCCCCTGAAGCGCTGCCAAAACTGCTTTTGGAAAGGGCAGGGACCCAAGCCTTTTTAAAGAACTGCCAGCTGGAGTGATTAAGTCACCACCACCTCTGTCACAGGATGGGGAACCGTCTGCGACCCCGGAGCCCCACCCACGTGAGAAAGCTGGAGGATGCAGGAAAGAGAGACTTCCGCTGCTCCTCCAGGCACCAACCAGGGCTTGTGACACAGCAGTACGGCTTTGGCCAAAGGGCTCTGCGGGCAGTGAGGGCACCCTTCCTCTCCTTTCGCTTCCGAAGGCTGGAAGCCGGGCCCTCGAAGCCAGGGCTGGGAAGATGGCATTTCCCTTGAATTACACAACGCAGACTTCATCGGTAGTCTGTGGCGGTGAAGAATGTGGATGTGGTGCAGCGCTGCGTGTCTGAGTCCATTCTGGCTGCTCTAATGGAATATGACAGACTACGACTTACAAACAATAGAAATTTATTTCTCACAGTTCTGGAGGCTGAGAAGTCCAAGATCAAGGCCCAGCCGATTCGGTGTCTGGTGAGCACCCACTTGCTGCTCCCTAGAGGGCTGTTTTCTCACTGTGTCCTCACGTGACAGAAGGGGTGAGGGAGCTCTGTGGGGTCTCTTTTGTAAGAACACTAATCCCATTTGTGGGGACTCCCTCCTTATGATCTACTCACCTCCCAAAGACCCCACCTCCTAATACCATCATATCAACGGTTAGGTTTCAACAAGTGAATTTGGGGTGAGGGGGACTCAGACATACCACTGGGCATATGTTGTGCAGAGAAGACAGGGACATCATTTGTCCAGATGGGGCCAATGGGTGGGTGGGGACATAGCTCAGGGTCAGCTCTACCTTTTGGGGCCCTCTTGGACCCCCACAAAACTTTAGTTCCTCACATCTGAAAAGCTGCTGCTTCCTGCTTCCAGACAACACCCTCACTTCTCTGAGGTTTGGCAAGTGCTTTCCCTGGGCCACCCGCTGCCCCCTCCCAGTGTGTGGTCCCCCTCCCAGCCCTATCTCTGCAGCACAGAGCGGGCCAGGAGGAGAGGTCCAGTGCGAGAGAGCAAGAGTGTGGGTGACAAAGAAAGACTGAAGAGATGGAGAGAAGGAGGAAAAGAAAAGGAGTTGCAGAGACATGAGGAGTGATAAAGAAGGGAGGAATTGAGGGGAGAAAAAAGAAGAGAGGGCCCTGAATGGAGAGCTCGCCTGTTCTGAGTGGCTCACACACATGACTCCCCTACTCTCACAGCTGCACCCAGGACCAGTGCCACCATCCCCGCTGAAAAGCTGCCATTGACCGTCCACTTAGAACCAAGGCACAGACCACTAAAGCCTTTCTCTTCCACCTCGCATCCCCATTTTCTCCTAGAGCATAGCTCACACAGGGTGCATAATCATCCGTTTAATTCAGGGGCTGCTTTTTTGTTAAACTCATCACGGTCTATTACAAACACCTTCAGTATCATCTCTGTGTGGTCCATCTGATGTCACCTATGGCCCCCATGCTTCCTTCCACCACTGGACATTTTTAATGAACTCTTTGGGGATTGCATCACACTGGAGCAAATCCCAGCCATCACATCATTTCATCTGTACACACCTCAGTCTGAGTCTCTCAAAGATGAGGACTCTTCTTTAAAAACAAAACCACAAAGCTATGACATCCCAGAAAAAAATGAACAACTACTGAATTTTGTCCATGTCATCTAGCTTGGGTTGACATTTCCTCGATGATCTCACAAGATTCTTTTAAAAGAATCTGGTTTGTTTGAAACAGGATCCTGTTCACTGTGTCTCCAGCGCCTGGCAATCAGCTCTTCTGGCAAATACTGATACTCTGTGCATGTTTGCTGGGTGAACTGATAAGGGTAGAGAATGGTTTAAAAATCCCTCACATTTCCAGAGAACTTCTCAAGATGGACACTATGGATGTTCTCATCTCATCCTACTGGCCATGCCGAGAGGTAGCACCTTTTGTTGTCCCTTTTTGAGGAGGATGCAACTGAGGCACAGAGAGGCGAAGTGACCTGCCCAAGGTCATACAGCGAGGAGGTGACTCCTGAAGGAACAGGTGGAGAGGGTGTGGGGAGCCAGCACTCTGTGCCAGGTGCTACACTTCTGTTGACAACAGCCCTCAACCTGCAGGTGAGGAAACAGGCACACGCACCGCCGGGCCGTACTAGGCCAGCCTCGCCCACTCCCACTCTACCCAGCAGCGTGAGGACAGACAGGCATGTGGCACAGTTTCCAGGGCTGGGAGTCACTCCTCTCTCTACCAACACCCACATGGGCACCCTTGGCCTCCCCTCATTGGTGCCCCAGAGAGGAATCCATGCCCGGCTTTCCCTCCTCCCAGGGGACTACAGGAGTGTCTTCCACTGGGTCCCAGAGGGAGCAGCACACGCATCTCAGTCTTCCCTGTCCTCGTTAGGCAGCACAGCAAATATTTACTGACCACTATTAGATGTCAGCTACTGGGACAGGCCATGGAGAACAAGTAATGGCCAAGACCCAATTTGACAGTGGGGACACAGGCCGAAGGTGAGACTATCAGATGCATTCGTAATAGTCAATGGGAAAAGGAAGGCGACAGAGGCTCTGGGTACACCTGGGTGGGGTGGTCAGGGAGAGCTTCCTGCCCTAGGTGAGGCCAAGGCTGAGGAATGTAAACTCCTGAAGCTAGTGGCTCTGTCCCCTTGTTTATTTTGAACAATTTTAATGAAAATAAAGCACTATTAAAATAATAATTATGAACAGTAATCACAATGACCAACAATTATTGCATCATGTTGTTTTGGCTTGCTTTTTCACATATGGCATATCCTTTAATCTTGATAATAATCCAAAGAGACTATTGCCAATCCCACTTTATAGATGAGGAAACTGAGACACAGAAAAGTGAAATAATTTAGCAGTCACAGAACTGGCTAGGTGGTGAAGCTGGGATTTGAACCCAGGCCACCTGGATCTCCAGGTGCAGTCTGATTATGGCCTTTCCTTTCCATTAAGAGGACCTGCCACTCTGATGGACTGCTCACTGGACCCTGGTCTGGGCCTCATGGCATCGTTCAAGGCCATCTCCCTTCTCTGGCCTTGGACCCTAGGTCCAACACAAGGGGTTAGGAAGATGACCAGCCTTCAGAGCCACAGGCCCTGCATAAACAGCACCCAGAATCCAGGTGCTGGCCTGGATGGCCTCTGTAGTCAGGAGGATCTGAGCTCGGCAATGGCTCTGAGGCTCTGAGGCCAAAGTTGGCTACGTGACCTGAGGCAGGCTCTGCAACCTCCTGAAAAGTGGGGATGACGATGGAGCCAACTTTGTGAGACATTCCAGGCAGAAGGAACAGCAAGAACAAGGAGATGGGAGCCTGTGGTACATGTTCGGGGGACTAAATAGCCGTGTCCCTGGGACATGGGGCATGGGGCTGGGGAAGCCAAAGATGGAGTCAGAGAACTTTACACCAGGTGGTTTATTGAGTACCTACTAGGTATAAGGCCTAAAGACAAGTCCAAAAGCAGGGGATTTATGTCCATTTTGTTCACAGCTTTATCCCCCGTGCCCAGAACATTGGCTAGCAAACAGTAGGCCTACAATAGTTATTGATGAATGAATGAATGAATGAGTGAGTGATTGAACCAATAAGTGACTGAGTGACTGAGTGAATTAATGAATGAGTATAAGAATCAATGAATGCGTAATGAATATGCATTCTGACAGCAGTCTTAGTGAAATAACTAGGGAGTGAGCTGATACAAAGAAACTACCATTCCCTAGGGGGCAGGAATTCCAACAAAGACTTTGTAAGGGGCTGATGCTCAAGTTAAGTCTTAATATGTAAGCAAACCAGATAGGGAGGGAGAGCATTCCAGGCAGAGGGCACTGCATAGGCAAAAGCCTGGTAGGTTGACAATTTTCTGGGGTTTGGAATTACTGGGGCATAGAATAGAGGTGGGTATAGAAAAGAAAGGTTTGTGATAAGTCAGGGATGGGGCCCAAGGGTCTGGGATAAAGTATTTGAATGTTGCCCTTATATGATAAGGAGTCAGAGGTTTTATGCAGGAACCCAGCAGAATCAGATCTGACCACTTCTGGCTGCAGGTTGTCCCCTAGCCAAAAACCTTCACCCCCTCACTGACTTGCAGAGCAGGACTGGATCCCAAACACATTCCCCTGCTCCAAAGGCTGGATCTGAAATGCAGGTGCCCCAAAAGTACTTACTCACACCCTCCAGGGCACAGAAATAATAGCTTATGTGGATTAAGCATTTATTTCTGCCAGCCCTGGGGTCAGCCTTGGGTACATACTATCTCAGCACCGTGAGGTTAGTACTATTTCTGCCCTATTTTATGGATGAAGAAAGTGAACTCAGAGAGGTTTAGAGAATGGCCCAAGGTCACACAGCTACTGGGGAGTAAATCCAGGTCTTGACCCCAGGAAGGCTGGCTCCACAGCCCCTATTCCCATCATTATTCTGAACTGTCTGGGCTCTGTTTTCTGCCATCAAGTTGGGAAAGTGAACCACCACACTCAGGGCAGCAGCTGGAAGAAGGACTGCCTTTGTCAAACCACTCTCAGCGTTACATCACAGGCCTGCTTTGGAGAATGTGACTCTCACTATTGTGTTCCCTGTAGGGCTATTGTTGAGGACGGTGCTATCGTCTCCAGCACTTCTCTGTGGTGCCTGTAGACGGGCCTGTAAGAGAAAAGCCTTGAGTTCATCTGGCCCAGGAAAGCCAGGCTTCCCTGGAACTCTTAATATGTTTTCAGCTTTAGAAAGGTGAGACTCCTGAAATTGATTGTTTCTGTTTTTGCTCTGGCCATGAGGAAGCTCAGACCAAATGTACAGCCCAGCTCTGCAAGCAGTACTATGTGTTAACATAGGTGTTGTTTCCTTTTCCTTCTCATTTATTAATTTTTTTTTACTACAGTTTCCTCATTTAAAAAAAAATCCCAGTGTTGCCCTGGCTGGTGTGGCTCAGTGGACTGAGTACCGGCCTGTGAACCAAAAGGTCCCTGGTTTGATTCCCAGTCAGGGCACATGCTTGGGTTGTGGGCCAGGTCCCCAGTAAGGGCAATGTGAGAGG